TATACCCTAAACCCTAAACCCCCTCTATGGCTCTTTTTGGAAACTCCCAGATCACTGCAGGTCTCAGAGTGAACAGGCTGGGTTGCTGTTAAGGAACCTAAATTAAGTTCCTCTCTTGGGGAACCCTATTACTTACTATATATATATATATGTACCCATTATGGTAACTTAAATTAAGTTCATTAAATCCCTATATTCCCCCAGTTTCCATTTCATTTTCCATTTTATTTTCCATTTGATTCTCCATTATAGGCCATTATGGTAACTTAACTTAAGTCCCTTAACAGCAGCCCAGCAGGTGGCAGGATGCCTGCGTACCCGACTGTCCAGCTTGCAGAGCAGCCATGAGCTCGCCTGGCAAAAGCTTTAGTGCTTTCGGGTGTAGGGTTTAGGTTTAGGGGTTGGGGTTCAGGGTTTAGGTTTGGGGTTTAGGGTTTAGGTTTTACGGTTTAGGGTTTAGGGTTTAGGGTTTAGGGTCTAGGATTAAATTAAAAAACTCCTGGTGACCCTATGCTACCAGTCTGATTCGTATGGCTCTTACCCTTGTAGCAATATTTGTATTGGTTTAATTTGCTACTGATCGTGTTCTTATTGTTAAAAGTTTCGCTATTCTTTTCCATTCGCCGAATATACACCCCAATATACTATAGTAGCTTCCATTTTCTTTTCCATTACCCCTTTATACACCCCAATATACTATAGTACACGGGGTTTGTCATTATTGTAGCTGTCATTGTTGTTTCTGCACCATTCTGAGCAATCATCTGGCACTTCATGTCGGGACTACCGACGGTAGTTCCACCATCTCGGTTGCACCTGAAAAAATTGCAGGACTGAGAAGTCCCCTAGTTTAGGGTTTAGGATTTCTGTGACTGAGCCCACAGCTCCACGATGTCCATGATCAGGCGCAGATCGCCAGTGCTCTCATCCCAAATTCGGATGTCCTATGAAGCAGTGTTCCTTCACTTTAACCTTCTACACGGTAAACTCTGAACCCTGAATCCCCTAAACCCTAAACCGAATATGACAAACCAAGGCCACCCAAAACCGGCAACCTGCACATTGGACATCTGAGACTTTATGGATTCCCCTACTACTCCCCCCTCCCTAGGTTCACCTTTTCATTAGCACTTAGGAATAATTAATTAGACCCAATTCAGGCCAAGTAAGGGGGAGCCTAGGGGGGGGTGTTAGTAGGGAACCCATGAAGACTTTAAGGCACCCAGCCAGCCCGCAGCCCCACCCGAAAGCTGATTGCCGTTGCGTCACTTACTCTCACTCCTTAGGGTTTACGGTTTAGGGGATTTAGGGGATTTTGGTTTAGAGGCTAGGGCCTTTAGGGTTTAGGGTTCACACTCTGGCTGGTTTGTCGAACGCCGTCTCTTACGGGTGGTTAGTAGGGAATAAGGTAGGATAATCCCTACCTAATCTCTTTTTCATACAGTCCCTTATTCCCTACCCCACTAAAGTCCAGTGAGGTTTGCAACAGTGGAAGCGGCTGTAGTTGTTGGGCTCTCGGTGCCAGGCCACCAAATTCCCCTTGCAGACCCTTAAATGCTATCAGTATTGGGACCCCCGTGAAATTAAAGCACTAAACCCTGCGCCCTAAACCTGGACCCCTACTTCCTGGAGCGAGCTTGGGTTCAGCGTCCTCCAGAATCTTCTTCAGCTGGTGGTACTCCAAAGGGGCCTGAGGAGATCAGGGTGTAGGGTTGAGGGTTCCATATGGGTGCTTGGTCCCTTTTTGGATCCCTAATAATACGGCACCTAATATTTAGGGTGCCCAGAAAGGGATCATAATTTTGACAATCACCCATATATCCGGGGCTAGATACCCTAACTTACAACTCCACATACAATGGCAGTGTCCATTTTCTTCACTACGCCTCTACTCACGACCAGAAACCCGGAAACCCTAAGCCCCAAACAATAATCAGCATGTTGAAAGTTCTTTTCCCTTGATTCCATTCCCAACAAGAAACCACCAAACCCTAAACCCAATATATCCGTATGCATCCGGCCCCAGACCCTAACCCCTGTAAACTCCAAAACCCTCAACCCCAATACAAATCTTTACACATCCCAACATGTACCTATATATATATATATATCTAAATATACATATACATAATTGTATATTTGTATATTTATTTGTATATACACACACATATGTATTTTTTCCCTACCTACAACCCCTTAGTCTCCAGGGCAGTTTCCATGTTCGCTAGCTCGGAGGCGCCTCGCGCTGGTCCGCCCGGAGCGAGGCAAACGCCTCTGGGATGCCTCCGTACTTCCTCAGCCCCGAGACATACGCCTACGTATGTATGCATGCATGTAATGCAATGCAATGCAATGCAATGCAATGTAATGTAATGTAATGTAGTGTATGTATGTGATGTATGTAAAATGTGTAAAGCATGTAAAGCATGTAATGTATGTAATATATGTAACGTATGTAATCTAATGTAATGTATGTGGCGTATGTAATCTAATGTAATGTAATGTAATGTGCCTATGTATGTATGTGTTTATGTATGCATATATCGACAGGCATATATATATATACATGTTATATCAGAACATTTGTATATCTATACATATATATATATACACATAATGCATGATAATTTCGGTTTGAGATTTAGGATTCAGGGTTTGGGTTTTGGGCCTGGGGTTTGGCAGCTAAGTGCCTAGGGCTCGTTATATCAAGAATGTGTTTGCGTATTTGTATATATTTATAGAATACGTATGTTGCCCTATGTGTATGTATAGAGAGAAGGTGAAAAGATTAAATTGCGTATGCAATCAAATATGTGTTTATAAACAGGTGTGAATATGGTTTACTAATGTGTCAGAAAAAAACATCGAACTCTATTGTTTGTCTAGTCTACATATACGTATATTCTCCCCATCTGCAGGAATTTGGGTTCGGTACGTGATGCACGCTAGGCGCAAGTCCTGCAGGAAAGTAGAGGGCACATCTTGATGTCCCCGCATACCGGCCATTCTCGAATCATTGCAAACCAATTTGGGACTACTTCCTATGAGGTGAGTAACATGCTGGCATGATCCCACTAAGCATTACTTCAAGCTTCTCAAAAACAGGTGACCTCCAGCGCAGTAGACGGAGCAAACAGACGCACGCCGTGCTCGAACTCCGTCGTCGTGAGCTGCAGGCAGGCACAGGTTGAGTCGAAACCGCGGCGTGCATTGCAAAGCTAGTTAGTAGCTGTGTGATACTTCAAAACTTCAAAGTCGAAACTACTTGTAGCGTGCATGCAAGTGAGTTTTGTTAGAAAGCATTGAGGTCTTTCTTACTTGTCAGCAGAAGAGACTCATTCCGCGCGGAGAAACAACAAAACGATTGAACATGCGGTCCACCAAAGATGTGGCTGCACAGCCAACAAAATGCTCCCCAAAACACCCCATGGTCAGCCTAAGCGGGACCCTCACAACCCCAGCATCCCCCACAAACTTGTACGGGTATCTCTGGCAAACATCCTAAGGGGGTTGCTTGCATAGGGTTCATATAGGGTTATTGGGGTTACATGGACTTTTACAGGGTTCTATAGTCCTAAATCCTCAGCCCCAAGCCTGAAACCATCCTGAACCCCAAGCCCTTGACCGCCCGCCTTGCCATCCCTATTCACGTCCATGAGGTTGAATAGTGCCCTCGTGTCCTGCTCGGACAGCTGCACCTGGCACAGAGCTTGTTGTCGGTGATATGGGGTGTGTAGGGGTTATAGGGATAATGGAGATATAGTGATAATGGAAAAGAGGAAGGAAGCTACAATTTAGGGTTTTGGTTCAGGGTTTAGGGTTTAGGGCTTAGTGTTGTGTGAAGCCGGGCCCATTGTCCTTGTAATCCCCTCTCAAAAGCCCGAACACCCCAGACACCTGACATGGAACTTTCCTTCTGGTAGTCCACTTATATTCCGGACCACTATTTGCATTGGGGGGGTTGAAGATCACGGGAAGTTGATTGGAATGAAAGGCCGGGTCATACCACAACTTCCGAACAATGCTGCATGCTTCCCAGATGGCGAAACCCGCATACCATAAGAACACGGACGTATTGAAAGTCGTGTGCGAGTGAAAGAGCAACTGAAAGGCCACGCTGCGGCTCCCCCAATTCAGAAGCCTGCCCGAGCATCTCCTGATACTCCTCGGGAGTACGGCCTGACAACAGTAAAACATTGAAAGGTAGCACCAACCGGATTCACAAAAACAGCAAAGATGAGTAGCAGTTCGAGCACAAACATGCACAAATGCTCCCGGGATTCTCTGGATTTACAGCATCATGCTGGGAGCTCGGATGAGATTGCCATCCCAGAACAACCCTCTCCAGGCACATAACAGAGGAGCACTCACCAATGTCTTGATGGATGCTGCCCCACATGAGCTATAGTCTAAACTCCTAGTATCCCCCTTAGTAACCCACATAGTAGTCCCCTATGTAATTCCCTATATAAGCCCCCTTTAAGGAGTTTAGACTATGGTTCACATCATAGTCGCAGTAGGGGCTCGGCCATCGTCCTCGCTCTTGTCGGAGCCAGGTCCGACCAAGTCCTCCCATACTCTTTCTTTCCGGTGGTTCGATGACAGGGTGGGGAACCGCACACATCCAGCCTTGAGCAAATCCTGTGCTTTCTCCGAACCCAGGCCAGTGTGCTTTGCAACCCAGGAAGCCTTAAAAAGAAGGACAAAGGCTCCGGAACACTGGGCACGGCACTAGGTCGGCCCAAGCCCCAGGCCCGTCGAGACCTCGCTGCAACCACTCAAGTTCAAGTCCCTAAACCCTAAACCCTAAACCCTAAATCCTAAACCCTAAACCCTAAATCCTAAAGGCTAAACCAAGTCACCCCTTCTAGCTCGAAGACCGAGGCCCACAGCAAAACGCACCTGAATGAGGCCCTGGCTCCTCAGCGGTCATCCCGTCGCTGCGCGGGGACTCCTGGTTCCAAGTCGTACACTTAGGGTTTAGGGTTTAGGGTTTAGGGTTGAGGGTTTAGGGTTTAGGAGGACCCCCCACCCTGTAATAGTGCTATAATAGGAATATAAAGGGGAACCTAGTATATTCCTAATTATCCATAATAGTCACTATTACTGGATAGGGGGTCCACCTAAATTATGTACCACACAAGGTTTCAGCATAGGCAAAAACTGGGTTACTGTTAAGGAACTTAAAATTATGTTGCTAATATAGGTAAACCCTATCAGATACTACTATATACCCACCCTAAATCCTAAACCCTAAACCCTAGGGTAACTTAATCTAAGTTACTTAACAGATACCCAGAAAACTCTTCTAGACCGAGGCTTCATGGGCTTGTGACCTGGGCCACGACCACGGAGTGCCTCTGGTAGAGGGATCCTCTCCTTGCACAAGTCACCCCATACTATACTATATTATAGAATATTGTAGTATAACATACTATAATATACTATAGTATGATATAGTATAATATAGTATAATATATTATGGTACCCCCTCACCTGTTTCAACCCCCCTAATGCATGACTACATCCTGAAAAGGGGGGACGGGGGGGCGTAATAGAGGAAGAGGAATACCATCCTGGACGGTGCGATTTCCACAGCGGGTGGTGGCTCAAAGTCCAGCACCTACAGCGGGCAGAAAAGACATCATCAGCACATTCACGGTGGGCCATGCCTCATCAGCATCGATTTCATCATCATTGCCCTCACTGAGTAGCCCTCGCATACCTCGAAAGGAGGATGCTTCTCTCCTTCAAGCACTCTTCTCGTGCAGGCGCACTTCTGAAACGCTGACGCACTTTGCGACGGATTTCATCCAGATACAGGTTGGGCCTGGTACCACAAGCATGCATTGGCAAGGACTCGCAACAGCCAACACGGACTGACGATTCGTGTCATGCGTTTTGGATCAGTTTCGATCGTACCTCTGAGAATTGTCTTTCCCCACAGTCTGCTCAGATTTGCAGAAATTACCGCACACAAAAGCGGCATGTGAAGGAGCCTCCGCAAATGCTGAGCTGCAACTCCCAAACTAAAGCAGTTTCAGGTTGCATTTGCCAATTCTCTGCCCCGCACACGACGCATTCTGAAGGTTTCTGACCCTAAACCCTACACCCTAAACCGAAATGCTCAAGCTGATAAGGTCTCATGCTCAACCCGAAAGAGGTCTGGTTTTGGTCTTTTGGCTTTAGGGTGCCATGTTGGAGGGCCCGGCGTGTCCCGAATTGGCCATCTAAACCCTTTTCCTTACTGGGGTTTAGTAGGGAATATGGGAATATCTTTATAAGGATTATTTGAGGATTATATGCCCTTACTCCCTACTAAGAACCAGCAAATTGCTTATGTCAAAGAGGAGACCCCGCAACCAGAAAAAATTGGTAAAGACCCCCAGACAATTCGCCTCTGCATTTGCCCCAAGTATCAGCAATAGAATCCTTGCTACACGGATCCCGGACAAGGATCCATCTGAGGCCACGACTCAGACAGCGTAAGCGCTGTGACGAACTCGTCTTTACTGCATCAAGTAGACACATGGCAGGCAGTGAGGGATTGCATGATAAACTCTGAAATCGCTTTACTCAATGCTACTTGCAGGAAGGATCTCACCGTTTGCGGTGCTTTGCATGTTTTGACATGAAGCCTTACAGTCCTGCACCACACAACCTATGTAGGGACAGGGATATGCAGGGACGTCAAGGCATTGATTTTTATGCTTCCTCATTCGGCATCATAAAATGTTGCGGTGCTTTGCCACATCTTGACTCCCCAGAAACTGCCCTCACCGCGTAAACCCTCAACCCTAAACCCTAAAACCCTGAACTCTAAAGCCCTAAACCCTAAAGCCCCAAACCCTCAAGCCCTAAAGCCCCAAACCCTCAAGCCCTAAAGCCCTAAAGCCCTAAACCCTCAAGCCCTGAACCCTAAAACCCTAAACCCTACAACCCAAAACCCTAAAACCCTCAACTTCCTAGTTCAAAAAATATCTCCAGCCTGATCTGAAGGCTGCCATCCACGTCGATGAGCCGGAAGGCCTTCCCTGCCTCGTGGGTCGTCAGCCTCCGAGCGCTCTCGATCTGGGGATCATATAGGGATTATATGGGGGTGCTATAGGGGTCATATAGGGGTTATATACGGGCTATATAGGGGTTATATAGGGGTTATATAAGGTTCATATAGGGATAATGGCAAAGAGAATGGAAGCTACTGCCCTAAAGCAGACTTCGTTTGAACGTCTCGTCCAATAGCGCCGTTTTTGCCACTCCAATTGCTGATACGAAATGTCAACATTTGCTCTCAGCGCCACTGACCATGGTCACTACACCTACATGACAGGAGCAGAGAACTACACCTATTCTTGATACCATTATTTCTGGCCATTCTATCTGAAGGCCGTGCGGAAAAGGGCCGCTTCAACTCAGGCATGGGCTTCCAGGCCGGCACAGCGTAGCGGATAAACTCACCAATATCCAGAGAGTCCTTAGCTGTCACAATGCCACCTAATATAACCCCCAATATATACCCTATTATAAAAAATGGCAGTTCTCATTTTATCTTCCATTAGCCCAATATAACCCTAATAATGTAACCCCAATATATGACATCATGATGATGTGAATTGCGATGGATGTGAAACTCAGCAGAATCATCGCCGTCGATGGAGCCCGCCGCCGCCACCGCCGTCACGCCGGCACCGCCATCAGCATCATCATCGTCAGCCGCGCCGCCGCTGTCGATATCACCATACCGTCACCGTGCCCATCACCATCACCATCACCACCAT